AGCGATTGAGTTTTAATATAAAACGCAAATGGGCAGTTGCTAGTTTCAGTGTAAGAGTGTAAAACTGAGGTGTACTTATAGGAATAAAAAGAATGGGAGATAGAAAACGTAAAATATTAATACATATTAGGAAGTGTGAAGAATGTTACAGACAACAAGGATTTTGCTTTATTAGTACTCTCATCCCTCAAATAAGGCTATCAGTAACTAACATGTGAAGAATGTTATCCTATTCTTCTGCACAACATTACGTTACGTTATCCTTCAACGGGCCAGAATCTTGTAATAACTTCATCACGAGTTCAATCTGTAAGTATTTCATTGACACTAGTTATACAAGACATTAACAAACACGAAAACAAACGGATATGTTTTGTGCTTCAAGAGGGGTTATTTATAATTTTGACAGGTAAACCTAACTAGCTTATTCAGAACAAGGCTGCACTTTACGGTATGTTTGGTAATTACACTGAGGAATAGAAACTACATTATGCCGGCACAGGGACGATTTAGAATCAGATTCAAGAAAATGGAAATCTAAAAGCAAAAACATTATCAAGTTAACTAAAGATGTACGGTAATTTCAAAAATCAACTGGCGATTCCAACTTATTATTGAAGAAGGAAGGCAAGCAAAACCCAGAGCAATTTCCAAGCATTCAGCACTAATTATCTACAGCACTATGAGCAGGAGCATGAAACATAATAAAAAATAACAAGAAAGTTTTGACAATACAAAACATTTTCAGCTGATCTATACCAGAAGAAAAAAGGAAACCTGGTAGTAGCAGGCTTCAAAGTGTAGACTTGGGTTGTGTGCTTAAAAATAAAATAATTGAACATTATTTAATAATTTTTTTTCAAAATTATACTTTCTGAAAAGGTTCCACTAAGAAAATATAAAGGTTCACTGTACAAACTTGTTATCTGTAGTATTTCTGTAGAACTTATAGAATGTATCCCAGTGCTTAGCCTGAGCAACCAACAGGGAAACAAAGTTGAACAAAATAAATTATTGTTAGTCTAGTCCCTCACCCGATTTATTCGAACTTTACTTTAGCTTGACCTTTATAATCAGGCCAAGTATAAGAAATTCCTCATAATAAATTTCACCAACGATTCTTGTCATCTGTACTCAGTTAAAAAAGACAAGCTATTCATAAAGTCCAAACCTTACCTTCTTGCGCTCTTCACGAATATTTTTACTTTTACTTTGCTTCATGTCCATCGAGAATTCATCAAAACTGTTAAGAATTAAAAAGTCATTAGTGAAGACAAGAAGATCCTACAATTTCCTGAACTATTCTTCTGTGCATATCGCTATGTGATAGAAATTGTGGCTGACATGCTGAAAGGAGGAGGCAAGGTCTAATTTCTTGTAATAGTCGTTGTTCGTCAAAAAATGAGGGAAAGGGATTATAACAAAGGTTCAGGTCCTTCAGGAGACAACAAATTTATTTAAAAAAAAAAAAAGTTTATGGGCGGCCTTCTGTAACGATGATAAGAAATGTAGCGCAAATCCTCATAGCCACCAAAGTATTCACGTTATCACGAGTCAGTTTCAAAATCGGAATAGCTTCAGAGTTCATTTCAACTGGACGTATGGTTTGACAATAGACGGTCCAAACATTTCCAAAACATATGGCATGAAGAGAAATCTAGTCTGCAAATTGTAGCTGCTGAAAAAGATATAAAGTAAAATCATAAACAGCCCTCAGGGAAAATCGGTGTTTCCCTCCTTTAGTATTATAGGCTCAAAACAGCTAGAGATTCTCATATTGTGACAACATGATTATTGCCATGGACCGCCATCCGCCATTAATAACACTGATAGGAAGCAAATATTTACCCATGCAAAAAATAAA